TCATTTAGTAATTCATCAGAAGGATTTTCTAATTCTTTGATTGATCTATATTGACATAAGTTTTTTCTTTCCAAAGGACCAAGTAAAATAAAAAGGGGATGAGCAGGATGTGAAGGAATATGTGCATTAAATTTGTTAAGAGCAGCTTCAAAAGCTACATGAAAATTAGGGTAAAAATCACTTGGATTAAAATTATGAGAAATTAACCAAAATCAGAAGAATTACAATTGCTTTGTAAAAAAGATAAAGATGGAAAAAAATTTTAATAAAATAGTAAGATATTCACCTTGCGTTACAAAAATATAAATATATCGAGAACCTAACCGATTTTAGATATAATTCTTCACGTTTTCTGCTTTTGATACATACTTCTGCAGAAAATCATCGTCCTTGTTAAGTGGTTTTAGTTACGTCAAGTGTTTTTAATTACGTTAAAGGCTTTTACTTTAATCAAATTGTCAAAATAGCCCTGGTGAGATAACTAGCTTTAGTCAATACTTTAGCTACGTCAATGACTAAAGTCAAAATTTTCGTTGTAAATCATTAGTCAAAGGTCATACTGCCCTATTCCTTTGTATTAGTCCTGGTAATGATTGTGGAAAAAAATATTCAAATTTGCCTCGAATGGAAAGATCACCAAATTTTTATTATAATCAATTTTTTCAAAAAAAATTCAACATGCATTCAACATTATATCTATTTTTTAACAAATCAACAAAAGATTACAACATATTGAAATGCGTCAAGAGGTTTGTTAGGTGGTATAAAAGCAAAACACAAATATCCAATTCTTGATAAACCAACAAACGATCTTACACAACAACAACCACAAAAAAAGAAAAGGCCAAAGAAAGAACCAAAGAAAAACCTCCATGGATGGTTATGCATCATTACAAACAAGCGATGAGTGGTTTATATGCAGGCGAAACAATTAAATTTGGTGATCAGGTTTCGAAATTTGGCAATAGATCTCGTCGCTCCTTTAAACCAAATGTCCAAATTATATTCTGTGGCTCTTGATGAACGTATAAGAATCAAGTGTACTACAACAGCTCTAAAACATATTGATTTAAAAGGTGGTTTGGATAGATATTTGTTGACAATGAAGGATGACAAGTTAGGTAAAAAAATGTATGACTTGAAACTTAAAATTATGGATAGACTTGAAGAAGAAAAGAAAAGGCTAGCGGAATTAGATGGGAGATTATTGGATAATGATGACAATTAGGATGAAAGGATGCATGCAATTAAAGCTTTGTTATAATTTGATTATAATTTGTAATATTGAATTATTTCGAAAATAATAAAATTTATATTATATATATATAATATTTTTTCACATATCAATATCTATGCAAGATACATATTAATTTAGTAATCAATATTTAATCCAAAAAAGAAGATTTACTGCTGGTTGAAGATATCTGGAAAATACTAGTTTGGATTAATATACGTGTTGAATTGGGAGATTTCACAAGTTAACAGGGTAGTTCAATATAAAAAGCATATTTAAAGTCCTTAGAATCAGTTTAATAAGTTCATCATGCAGCATCTTCATATGGTTTTTATTGAAAGATAACACCGCAAAATACTTAACATAGAAATTAAATACTTGAGAATTATCCATGAATAACAAGAAAACAACAGTTGTTATTCAGAATGTGTTGATAATTCGACCAACTAACAACAAAATGTACCATAGGCATTTAATATCATAGAGAACCAGTATAATGTATCATATAACGCACGCCCAATAATTATAACATACTAAGGATTTGGAAAAAAAATTTCAGAAAAGAATAATATGTGAACTATATTAATTGAAACGACTAATCTTAAAAAAAAAAAAAAAAAGGGATTATCTTCTTAACAAAATGTACACTATAAGAGTGATTCTAGATGAAGACAAGTTTTTTCATAGAAGCACACCTGAAGGAGCATAGACGCCTTGATATATGTATCACTTCATGCCTAGGATGTCAATAATATTGTCATACTCGGTAATTGTAGTAACATATTAGATAGTTGATTTTTCGATTGGGAGTATTGAAACTATTTGTTAGCAGTAGAAGAAATAACGATCTAGATCAATGGTAAATACGATCCGTGAGCGAATTTAATTAGAAAGGAGATAATTAGAGAGTGTGTATATTCATTAAATTGGTAAAAGTTCATTCTATCAAATTGAATTCCTGAAATGATGATTATGTATTTTGATCATGATTTTAGCAACTTCCCTAATTCGCAAGAAAAGTATAAAGGAGCCTTCCTTCTTGGACGAAACATTAAAATAATACAATTATAGATGGGCGTCTAAATTGTTTTTGGGGTTGTCTACAATCAAAATAGTATTTAGACAAAAATGCCTAAATGTCTAAATTAATATAAATAGTAATGATTTGCTTTAAATACAACTAAAAGTCACGTGTATATACATCAAAATCCACAAAGTTCAGTAAATTATCCAATAAAAAATCCGATTTCAGCATTTTAGACATGATTTGTCTAAATGTCTAAATTAATTTATTAGTTTAGACACCCATCTATAAAATGCGATTTAAAAAAAAAAAACGATTAGCATAGAAAAAAATTAATGGTCTGTTAAAAAAAGGATTACTTCAGCCCATCGACTATTTACTGATATGGGTAACAAAAAAAGCAATTATCATTAAAAGCATTTACGGAATATGGAATGAATATCTTCTCACGAAAAGTAAAACATCAAAATGTTCATCACCATTTTAGTCCAAGAATTTATTACAATAATAATAATAATAGCAGCAGTAACAAGTTTCCTTATTTATAAAAATGATGAATTTTTTTTACGATTTTACTAATTTATTTCTATATTAACGGATAATTTTTTGGAAAAAAAATCTCCGCATTATTATTATCTGCATGAAAAGGATAAGAATGTGTAACTATGTAACTGTTAAAATATTAAAAAGATATATATATTATTAATCAATCAATAAATAAATAATAAATAATAAATAATAAACAATTTATTAAAATTCTATTGAAAGAAAATATTTTTCTTCTTGAAATAAAAAAAAACTCGAGAATTAATTTATATATAATATAATAATAATAATGGGTGCTGCTAATAATAATGACACTGGTTCTAAAGATTGGCTTAAAGAAAGAGCTGCTATATGTAAGTGTAAAATTAGATATTTGGTGAAAATTGAACATCTAGCTGGTCAAAGATTTCCAAACAAAATATAATAATAATTTTAAAATTTATTTTACTCCATCAAATAAATTCATAAAATAATATTATTGTATATAAATAAATTTAATCTATATTCTTCCTTTTTTAAAAAATAAATAATTAAAAAGCTGCCGCCCATCGAAGACAAAAGACTGACCCGGCAGCATCAAAACTTGTTGACCAATTACACAAAGAACGCATTCAAGGAAATTCCGAAGAAACAGGTAAATTATTATTATTAAAGCATCATTAATTGTGAAAAAAGTGATGGCAGAAGTTAATTGTATTATATATATACATCGGTGGCGAATTAATTAATTGATTTGTTGATCGATTGGTTACGATTATATAGTTGACGAGGAATATGAAGATCTTGATGCAATTACTAGTGTACCACCTCCTGAAGAAATAGTTGTCAAAGGTAATTATTTATTAGCTAATTAGTTAACTTGATTAATTAATTGGTAGTAGTATTAATAGCGTTTTATATGTGTATAAAAAATTAATAAAAGTTTTTTTATTGGGTGTTTTTTTGGTTGGGTGAAAAAGTTGCACCAAAAGAAAATACAACCACTACACTTCATGGCAAAGAGACTAGTGAAGATGTTTATCAGTCATTTATGAAATCAGTTTTGGAAGGGGGATTAGCCACGGAATCTTCATTGGAATTGTCATTTGATTTAAAACCTGAAGACATTAAAACGAAAGATCTGTCTGAAGGTGAGGAGGTCGAAGAAGAGGATGAGAATGAAAGTGAAGGTGATGGCGAGAAAGAAGATGAAAATAACGAATCAATTAAAATTGAAAGTAAAAATGAAGATGAAGGCGAGAATGAAGATGAAAACGACGAATCAATCAAGATTGAAAGTAAAAATGAAGATGAAGGCGAGAAAGAAGAGAAAGAAGATGAAAGTAAAGATGTTGAGATTAATAATGGTTAGTGGAAAATATTATTTAAAGCATTCACAAACTTTTAAATTTTGTCCATCTTTACTAATTAAATAAAATTATATATTTCACTAAATAATATTAATCAATCAATAAATAAGAAACAAAACCACCACCACCATCATCTAATGATTTATCAGAGATAGAATCTGAAAATAAAGAAATAAATAATAATAAGATTGATGATCAAAATGATTGAATGAAATAAGAAAGAGGGAGGGGGAGAAATATTGTAAATTTATTATATTATATTATATTATATTTTTGTCAAATATTAATTATACAACTATTATTATTATTCATTATTTTAGAAAAGAGAATAAATAAATATTTAAGTCTTTATATATGTTGTGCGTGAAAATGAAATCTACGTGAATTTGCAATTCACATATGTGAAATTCAAATTAGCCAATCAGAATTTCATATCCAAACACCCACCCAAAATTTCAATTATAAATTTCGATTTCACATAGTTTCAATTTCACATACAACATATATATAGTATATAGTATATAATTTATTATTATTGAAATATTTATCATCATCTAAAAATAAAATTATTTATGACGATCATTTGAAATTTTAGATCAAATTTTATCATCATTGTAAATAAAAATGTTACAAGCTCAGGGAATCCTTATATTTAAACTCGTTTCAAGTTGGCGAATTCATGAATTGTATTCAAAGAAAAAAGATGCACTTACACCTAATACTGTTGACATAATTGGGAACATTGATAACATTATAGATTTTTTAAAAAATTTTCATAATGTAAAAATAATTATTATTGGTTAGAACGCGTAATTTTATTATTACTTATGAAGAATTACTCGTTCTTTTTTGTTTATTTAGCAACTTGTTAAATGTAATACAGCTAGTGACTGTATTTTTAGATTTCCAAAAGGTGAAAGTTTATTAAAAGATTTAGCGGTATATTTCAATTTTGTAGTTTTTTCTTTAATAATAATAATCTAACAAAGGAATCATTTTATATATTAATAATATTAATATATATCTACAATTCTACACTGGAGTTTAATCAGTTAAATAGGATTTTAATTCTTCACCCTGTTGCATGTCAATTAATTGTAAAATGCGTGTTAGAATTTTCTAAATGCTTGAACAATGTTCCGAATTTTATTCAAGGAAATAACTCAAGAAATTGGTGCGCAGATAGAATTAAAAGTATTATTCAATCTCATAATGATGTAGATGAAATATCAGACAACTTTTCATATTATAATGAAATTGGATTGTATGAATTCCATGGGCTTGTAGTCAAAGAATTTATTACAACAATAAAAGAATTCTTGAAAGTCATAGAGAATTCATCAGTTGAATTACCTGTAAGTTAGGACAAGACATAATTAACTAATTATTTATTAATTGATATTTACTCTTATATGATATAATATTAACAATCTTTTATTATTAGAATAAATGTTTTATAAAAATTTCACAACAATGTTTGCCACTTTTAAATGATTTGAATATGGTAGAATTGATAGATCGTATAATAGTTGTGGCAACTAAAAATTATTTAAATTATGAAACATGCCTTGAAAATAATAATAATGATGAACAATTTTTATTATTTTCTGATGTTTTTATAGAAAAATTGATCTTTATCAATACTACATTTTATGAGCACCTTTCTATCGATGCAAAGGATGGGTAAAGCAGTTCCTTTATCAAAGATATTGAGAGTATTTGGTTAAATTCACATACATACATATATATTTATTCATTTATAATTGTATAGATTATGGGCAACATGTCCAATTACTGTAGAAAATGAGGTAAAATGCTTATTATATATACATACTTAACAATAACAATTATTTACAAATCTATTATTATTAATCGTATATGTCTATTTTTTTCTTTTTGTAAGATTATGAACATTTTTGGTCAATTACTTTTCCCAATTGATAGTAATTACATGAATCCACATTATATCAAAGGTTTCTTAAAATCAAACATTATAATTCAAAGAATGTTTAAACATCCTGAAATATTTCATCAATGTTTATATGTGCTGATGAAATTGATATTGGAAATACCTGATCAGAGGATACTAAGATTAATTGAATTAGTTATTCAGTTAATATTTGATGAAAATATTGAATTCATAGTTAATAAATCAAACATAAAGGTACAAAAAAATTTTTTTAAGGAACTCTCCATTCCATAATTCTCCAACACTTCACCTCTAATCTTTTACTAATACCTAAATAGTGTAAATTTCTAAGCAAATTAATAGATATGATAACCATACTTAAATCTAATCCTGATTTGAACTCACTTGAAGAATTAAACAGAATTAGAAAGCATTCATTTACTATAGAAGAGTCATCGTATTATTTAAATCATAAAAGACAAGTATGGATAATCTTTAAATCTTGTGTAAAATGGAATTATTGGACTATAAATGAAATTTTGGACATCAATAAATATTCCAATATTGAGGAAGTAAGTTTTCAGCACAACTTTAATTATACAAATAGTGTTAGTTATTATTATGAATAATGATGGTATTTTTTTATTTGCAGTTGAAAGAATTCATTTCATATTTAGGTTGGCTGATTCTTCCAATAGATGAAGAGGACAAAGAAGGATTAATTAATCTAATTATTACGTTAACTGATATTATTATAAGAATAAGAGGTGCGAGTTAACTGTCAATAATAATGGCAATCAATTGATGATTATTCAATAATAATTATATAAATAGTAAAAATATTTATATAAATTTTTTTTTTTAGATTATTTATTAAATTCAGCAAGAGACATTTCATTAATAATTAAATTAATGAGTCAACACAAAAATTTATTTGAAAACAATTCATTATTACTATACTTAATATTAGGAATCTTAAAATATTCAGAAACAAATTTTATTGAATCATTAGAATCAATTGTAAGTATTTCAAATCATAATTGAACACTTGTTTGAGTAACTTTGAGTGATGATTGGTCAAGAGTATTTTTTACTAATTAATTATCTGGATAATTACTTTCTCAGATTATTTACTATTTACCAAATATAATTGTCAATGACCAAAATGATAACAAGAAGAACAACAATTTATATATTTTAACAAATATTTTAGATTATATTCATAATAATCAAAGTTTGTTGTATAATAATAATATTGAAATCTCAAATTATTTAGAATCATATTATAACTTATTTATAAGTGAAAAATAAAATATTATTATTAAATTATTTTGGTTAAGTTGATTGTTCTTTCCCTCTTCTATTATATTATATTTAAAAAAAAAAAAATTATAACTACATAAAAATAATAATAATGAATTAATGATTTATTAAAAATTTTGATACAATTTTAATGACAATTAATATACAAGTTTTGATTAATTAATTATTATTGTTATTATTATATTCTTTATCCAAAGTATTTTCCTATACCTGTAGTGAATAATCTTCCTACAAGACTTGGACTTTCTGATGCTGCCATAGATGCCAAATTACTTGCCCATTTCTTTTTTGCATCTTAGTACAATTAGGAGCCATTGTTTTAATAATCCAAAAAATCCAAAAAATATCATATCACTATTGGTGCATAAAGTGAAATCCAAAATATATGAGAATCTGTTGGATTAACTGGTCTCGATGGTTAAACGAATAAAGATTATGTATATAATTAATCAAATATGCTATATATTCACACAAAACTCTTTCATAATCATTCATAATTTTGTTTTCCTACATCATGACTTTCAAATCCACATGCTTGATCCATCCTCTTGAATATCGTTCCGCCATCTTAATCCTACCAACAATCTTCAATAAAAAAATTTTTGAAAAATTCCCAATTATTTAATTATTTAATAATTAACAAATAATAAAAATACTAAAACAATTCATTATTCATTTGTAAAAAAAATCATCCATGGTTGATTGCTTCAAGCTATCTAAATGGAATTTAAATAATTGTGAATGAAAATTCCGAAAAGGAGACAAAGTATTTAGGTTGTAAGAAAATTCAGAGGGGGGGTTTTTAGAAATGATAAAATATTTTCCGAGCACTTTTAACTGGTATAGAAGGCACAGGTTCAATTTCTTCGTCTTCATCTTCAGCAACTTCATTATTTTGTGAAGGACATACTGTTTCAATAATTTCTGCATCAGAAAACTCTTCAGAAACTTCATTATCAATGTTTACAAATTCCATTGCTGAAATGGGTTTGCTAAAATAGAGTTTATTTATTTCTTCTTGTAATTCATCAATCTCTTCTCTTATTATTTCATCATTATTTATTTCTTCTTGTAATTCATGAATCGTATTTAAATCATAATCTGGCAAAATTTTAGTCTTCTTCCAACAATTAACTATTGTTGATTGTGAGACTGTATCCCGTGCTTCACCACAAAAATTAATTGCATCCAAGATATTAGTAGGATCTACCGAACTTTTATTGTTGTTTATTGTATCATCATATGCATCAACACGATTCTTTACAAGACTTTTTCTGTATTGAGCTTTAAATGAATTGATTATACTGGCATCTAATGGTTGAAGATGTGAGGTGGTGTTTGGAGGTAGCTAATGTATATTAATATTTGAAAGTTGTCCAATATTAGTTATATTGTGCGTAGAAGCATTATCAATAAGTAAAAGTATATGACAATTTTGATTTCTCATTTGTAAGTTCAGCTTGGAGAGAAAATCTTCCCAAATAGAAAGCTGCATCCAAGCAGTAGAATTCCAGTAATAACTTACTGGTAAGCTTTCTTTATTAATGCCATGAAGTGGTTGAGGAGTTTTAAATCAATGGATAAACAATGGTTTAAGTTTAACACTACCTAATGCATTGCATGTAAGCATTATAGTAACTCAATTTTTTGATTTCTTGGTACCAACAACAGGTCCAGTTGCTAACGTTTTTGATGGTTCAAGTTCCCAATACAATTCTGTCTCATCTGCATTAAATACATTGTTTAAATCATATTGCCTAATGACATCTTTTAGTTTAACATGTTCTTCTTCTAATGTATCAAGTGGTGCACTCTGACCTCACAACGATTGTACATTAAATCTCTTTTTAAATTTTTGCAACCAACAATCAGATGCTGTAAAATTATTAATTTGAAGCAAAACTCTAAAGTCCAATGCCTTTTTCTTAAGAACATCATTAGTTACTGTTAAGTTACTTATGCAAGCACATGAGAACCAAATAACAACTGCTTCTTCAATTTCAGGAAATGCAGCTTGACAATTTCTTTTTTTATTTAAGTCTGTTGTTTCTGAATCTAAAGCAAGATATTTATCTTTATTTTTAAAAATTTAGAGATTGCTGTTTGAGTGACATTATATTTAGCTGCTAATTCTTCTTGTGTTGGTTTTGGTTTAACTAAAAGCTCTTCACAAATTATATGTTTTTCAAGTTATTTTTTGTTCTTTTTTTGTCAATTGAAACTTCATTATCATCTGTAATTCTATGCTTAAATTGAAAGCTCGAATTCATTTTTTCAATGGTTAATAAAGTTCTTAAAATAATGTGACTTGATGGTTTATCCAAAAAACCAAATTATTACTTATGTAAAATAGTCAATATTTTTAATGGTTATGTAATGGTTACATGAGATGTGAAATTAAAGAGCGAGATTTATTATATGATGGCATATAATAAACAGTAATGGAGGTATGACTTTATCAATTATTGAGATTTTATTATGATTATGAAATTATCAAATGGGATTTTAATATAAGTGGCATTGGTTCCTGAAAAAATTATGAATTTAGGCAATTATGAATTTATCAAATATGAATTTAAGGGTAGGGGGAATCACGTGTTAATTTAATAGTAAATCCGGGGCTCAATTTTTTCAAAAATTTGAGTTTTCCCAAATTAGTAATTGTCTTAAAAGTAAAACAACGGCAAGACACGTTGAAACAACTTCAAAATTATTTATATCTAATTTTGGTGTTTCTTAACTATTTGAAAGTACTTCAAGCAAAACTTCTTAATAAAAATTTGTAAATTTCTTCAAAAAACTTAACGTGTTTCAAAATAAACATAACTCCTTCCATAGTAAACACCTGCTCATTTCTTAGTAAGCACCTGCTCATTTCCTAGTAAAAGTTACACATTCCATAATATAAAATACTTATTTGGCAAAAAATTCTCATAAAATAATAAAGTTCAATAAATATTTGATAAATTGTTATCTACTAGTAATTATTTCTACACAAAGGCTTCTTATTTTATTTTATTTTTACAATTCAAAAATGGTCAGTTGGTATAAGTCATTGACAAATTCCAAAATTATAGATATTGCTGAGGGTGCTGAAGAAATGATATATTCTCATTCTTGGGATTATTATTTATAAATAAATAAATATATATATATACAGTATATATAATTTTTTTTTTAAATTTTTATTATAGGAAATTTTAATGTATATTAATATTTCATAAAAATATTGATCAACATTGTACCCGGCAGGCAAAAAAAATTGAGCCATGGTTTACTACTAAATTAACACGTGATTCCCCCTACCCTTAATCACGCCAATAGGGAGGGTTGTAAATTTTTGGTGATCTGCATTATAGTAAAATTCGAATTCCATTAATAAATATCTTTTTAATTCAACTAGAATAGTGAGTTTTGGATTAACTATTACCACTATCATATAAACAGCCTTATGGATTGGTATTACATGACATTATAAAAGAAATACTAATATGGTGAGAGGCTTTTTGCATCATTTGCTGTGCAATTATTTAAGTTATAATCACATTATTCAATGACGCTTTACTTAATAGGGCAAACAGTGGAGCATTTCATCAAAAAAAAGATGGAACGTAAATAAAGAAAATGCCATAGGTGAAAAACCTGATTTCAAAATTATGATTTATTCAATGAAGGAATTATTTTTGGTCAAGTAAAACCACCAAATATGAGAATTTATCATTATTAATCAACAAAGATTTTCTTAAACTTACAAACTTTCAAGCTGGAGCTCTGGATGAATTAATTAGAAAACAATGACAATGGTAATGGAATCACAACATTTGGAATATGGGTTTCTGGTAGATGTTTAAATTGAATTGACTTTGAGTTTTTTTTTGTACCATTTACCAAAAACTTAGTTGTACCCTTAGGCACACATATTTGAATATATGAAATGAGTTTAAAAGTTGATGGAAATATATATGATGACTATGATATCAAATATAATTATTCCTACAGAACCATCACAACTTCCATGTATGATTTCCATTTTGGAGGCTATGTTTAATGTAATAAATAATTCTGATGCTTGTTTATAACTTTAATATATGTGCATCTCAAACCACTAAGAATCATTCTCTTTGTGATTGTAAGAATCGTGTAATTGAAGTTGCAGAAGTCATCTCAAATAATGTACCAGTTAAATATCAATCAACATACATGAGATCACCTTGTGGTCAAGTTTCCTTTAACTATATATATATGACACACAGCCTACTCGCTGACTTACGGTCAAAGATTAATAATAAAAATAACTTTTATCTTCCTGGATAAAAGGGTCCCTAGGTTCTATGTAAATGATTATATCTCAAAGGCGTCCCCTTGAGATGTATCTGAATAATTAAAAGGGTTCCCAACTAATGATTAAAGGTTGGCCAGACCATTAACCATTAGAAGGGTGGGGGGGTCAACCACACTGGGTTTATTAGTTACTTACAGTCAAAGACTATTTTATGTAAGTTATATATTTATTAAGGGTTATTATTATATTGTTGTTATCAAGGTTGTTATTAACAATATTAACAATTTATTTATTTATTAGTTATTCCTTTAACTTGGTCTAAAGCCAAGTGTATTTATACCTCTTGGGGCAGTACAAATAATGTGATATGTGCTACTCTATTCTCCAATAATATGCTTATCAACTAATTACTAATTCTAAGTAAATATTTACATCAGATAAGAAGGTTAATAAATATAAATATAGAAATATGAATAGGAATAGTCTTTCATTATGACACTGCGCAATCTGCGGCGTAGCTGTTACAATAATATATTTAGTGCATCACATGACTTCCGTAGTAAGTTCGTTCTAATTAGTCAATATTAGCCGGGTAATTGATAGGTCCAAGATTTACTATCTCATAATAACTAACAAAGACAGAAGAGGGAAAAATAGAAAGCATCCAGACATTATGTTCATAGTGAAACATATGAATAGAATTTATGAAATAATGTTTGCTGAATGTTCCTGCATTGTTTGTAGCAATGTAAAAAAAAGATGACGATAGAGTAAAAGTGTGGCAGGAACTTAATGAGGGCATATATTGAATTAATAGGGGGTTGTAAATTAGATGAAAAAAATGAGTTTAGAATTCATGGGTTCCAAGTTGCCGGGCAAAAGTTCAACCTGTATGTTCTTATCCAAGATCATGAAGGTATAAGCCGTCTTTGTCTTTCAAGATCAGCAAGTATTCCAACACAATATATGGATAACAGTGAAACTATATATGAGTTTATAGAGACTTTGTTGTTACTGCGAGTAGGTATTCATTTATATTCCATTATACATTTATTCCACAATATTTATCTAAATTTTTTTTTAATTCGCAGAGAATCTTAATTGTTGATTTGTCTTTGCTATTTAATTCGAACCTAACAAAAGTGATGAAGATAGTTTGACAGTATCCTCCCCTCCACCTAACAATTAACCTACATTATTTTTGTCCTTTGTTTTTTACTATATCCATAAAACCAACCAGATTAGTTGAGGTTTTCATGTTCATTCAAAAAAATTAGCTGACTAATTATTACACACATCTGATAATTTTCTGCTATATGTTGAGAATATTTGAATCAAGATTATTTACCTCTAAATACCTACATAGCTCTACATAATCAAATATCACTTTTGTATCTTGCATATCCTTATTTATTATAGTTATGTGATCTTCATCTTTTCTTTGCATATACTTATCCCAGTTTAAAAATTGCATATACTGTTTAGGGTTATTGGTGAATCTACCTTGAGTCTTACATCTGTTATTTTTAGATTTGTAAGACATATCTTATGTATAGTTATCAATACATTCAAATTTTTTTCTTGCTAAAGTGATCAGTGTTACAAATTATAACGCTCACGTGATTTTTTTAACTATTTTAAATGTTTATTATAAAAATACAATTATGATTTTCTTTTGTTGAGCATCATCAATAATTATAAATATTGATTTCCATTCTCTTTAATATTTCAGTTGCTTTTGGATGTTTATTTAAAGCTGCTAATTTCAAATATTTAGTTCCTTCCACTATATCTTTTTCAACACCAAGTTTTTCATTAATATATATATCACCCAAATTAAATTGTGCATTGGAATTTGAATTGTCAGCAGCCATTTTAAGATATTGGATAAATTCTTCTTGATTGTACCTAGTTTTATCTTCAAAAAATGAGAATGCATATCTTAATTGTGCATCAGCAACACCTTCATCAGCTGCTTCTTTGAACAATTTGGTTGCCAATGTTTTATCTTTATAACCACAATATCCTTCCCACAAATAATATCCTTTCCAATATTTTGCTTTTGAATTGTCAAGATCAACACGTGCTTGAAAACATGTCCATGCTGTTTTGTAATCTTTGATTTTATGGGCTGAAATACCCTCCTCAAGTGTAATAATTTGTGTGGCTACTAAGGCTTCCGGTCCAAACTGTTTTCTCAAAGCCCAAACTAGTTTGGGCAATATGGGCTTCTCAGCATTTTTTATAAACATGAACATTAAAAAACTATACCAATCAACTTATTTTAACTTAAACAACTTTAAATTAAATTTGCCCAATTTCAGCTAATAACAAGAAATAGTTCAGGCTTATAAAAAAGTAATTTTTGCCCAAAGTGTTTTGGCAATTTTGACTACTAATAAAGAGAGTTTTGGCCAGAAACCTTAGTGATTACAGCAACTTGAGGAGGTTCTTTGAATTGACTACTAATATCTTTATCACTTACAGAAATAGGTTTCTTTCCTCCTCTTAAAGATCCATCAAAATCAATAGTTATTGATGGGTGTAAATGTGTTTTAGCAACAGGAGGGGGTATTGTGAATATAAACCATCTAATTGAAAAAACACTCTGAAGTGATGATCTTAATGGAAGGATCATCTTCTCATGCTTTTTTTTGTCAAATAATAATATGTTAAATATTAATTTCATATAAATAAATAAAATATGTAAATAAATTTGTTTGTATGTTAAATTATTAATCATATCTCCTCTTATAACTTTGGCATAATCTTGTTGGTGATTTTTGGTTTCATCATCTACTTCACCAAATTGTATGTTTTCTCTACCACCAGCTAATACATATTCTTTAATGAAGTTTCACCCGAGCATAACCAAATTTAGCAATTTTTAATATTAATAGATAATATAATAATATTTAATATTAATGATTTTTTTTATTTTATTTTAGTTCATTAAATAAATAAATCAAATCTAAAATTTATTATAACAATAGATGTAAATTTTCAACTATGAATGCTGAACTGATTTTGTCCCCAAACATTTAAGCATGGCTAATTATGGTGATACTAATAATAACTTAGAGGAATTAATAACCATAATTAAAACTATTCGTGATGCTTATAAATATCAATTTTCAATTTGTTTAATAGTTCAGTTGCTTTTGGGTGTTTGTCTAAAGCAGCTAACTTCAAAAAGTTAATTCCTTTATTTACATTTTTAGGAACTCCAAGTTTTCCATTATAATACAAATCACCCAAGTTATACCTAGCTATTGTATTTCCATTATCAGCAGATAATGTAAGATACCTAATAAATAAATTTTTATCAAAATTTTTATTATTCACCAAAGAAAATGCATAACGTAATTGAGCATCACCACTTCCTTCATCAGCAGCTTCATGAAATAATTTAATGGCCTCTGCTTTATCTACACGACCACAATATCCTTCATACATATAATACCCCTTCCAATACTTAGCTAATGGGCTTCCTAATTCAGCATGAGCATTAAAACAAGCCCAAGCCTTTTCCCTATCTCTGTTTTTATGTGCTTTCAAACCTTCTTCAAGTGGAATAATTTGTTGAGGTTTATTAATTTCTTCAGGTTTTGACAATTTTTTTTTATCACTAACAGAAACAGAATATTTACTGCATATTACACTACCATCTGGATTCAATCTTTTTTTTGAAATGGGGTGTTTTCACTACTTTTACAATAAGTTTTGGCCAATTGATTCAGTTGAAAGAAAATTTGTTGAAGGGATAACCTTATTGTGGGATCATCTTGCCAGGCTTATCCAGGATAATAGAATAATGGAAAACATTATGCCCATATTAATTTATCTAAAAATTAAAAACTAAAAAAAAAAAATAATTTTGACAACTTACCACCCACAAAAATATTTGAATATTCTCTTTGTAGTTTTAATATTTCTTTATTTGAAGGATCATAAGTAATCCTTTCTCTTTTTCCACCTAATACATATTCTCTAATTTGTGACATATTCGATCTTCATAAGGGATTCTTTCAAATCCAAGCTCCCAAAGTAACATTCCAAAGCTAATTGTAGTATTTTTGATCCAAAATAAAATACATAAAATAAAATAAAAATAAAAAAATGAGAATATCATGATATGCATTATGGATATCATGTAATAAATAAAAAAAAAGTTTTTACCTAAATATTTCACACTTAAAATTATAAGATTGTCCAATACCATGTAACAAATTTTCTGGAGCTAACCAATGCACAACAACTGTTAAATTTTTCAATTCTCTAGTATCACCTTGAACATCATGAGCACAATCAAAATTTGTAATTTTTGGTTCCTTTTTTTTAGTCATCTGATGTTTTTAAATAAATAAATAAAATAAATATTATTTTAGATAAATAATAAATGAAGTGTATATATATATAATGTCTTTTAATTACCACAATATTTCCACAACGTATATCATGATGAAGTATTTTACATGAGTGTAAAAATGTAAGTCCACGACAAATTTCAAGAGCTATTGATACTTTGTTGGGCCAACCAATATCATAGTTATTATAAACATCATCCAAACTGCCCATTTCTGCCCATTCAAGAACCATAACTGTTCCATCATCAACTGTAGAAAGACCATAGAATCTTAATATATTAGTTGAATCATGTAATTTTCCCAAAATAGCTAGTTGCGTCTGAACAATTTGATAATCAGCTGGTAGATTGGTTTCATCAGGAATTGTTATAGGCTGACAAGCAACTTCTATAGTATCATATAATATTTTTCTGCAAAGAAGAGGTGCTTTTTTTCCTTGAAAATCAGTTTTTTTTGTATATTTAGGATCTTGTAACATAGTTGGTGGTATTTGAATAGCCTTTATAAAATTATTATTAGAGTCTTGGCTCTCTTTTGATTCTACTTGTGCTTTAATAATAAGTACTTCTTGTAATGATGTGTTCATTTGTTTTTTATCAACAACAATTCCACCACCGATTGATTCCCAAAACTAAATTTTTTAAAAAATATATAGTGTAAATTCTAGAATAAATACAGTCCCTTGAAAAAAGTATCGCTTCACCTGATGATCGACGAAAATAATTGGATAACTTCTGTGATATAAAAAGTCATGATTTTACTAACCAAGTCGATGTTGTGTAATAACAAAAAAATCATTTTCATAATGATTTCTATAACATATTCAAGTTTCACAACATAAAATTAATTATTGGTAATTTTATGATCTTTAAAAGACAAAAAAAAAATTTCCGGAAATTTTCAAAAAAACTTGAGATTAGAGCCAACTTTAGATGACATGTTTTAACACATTTTGAGAGCTTAGTAAATGTTGTTTCTTTTATCTTCAAATGTATACTTATGAAATCTCACAATTAATTGTCGGATATTGGTCAAGTATCGAACTGAAACGTAAAAACGACTAAAAAAAATAAATGTGTTACATTTAAAAATTTTTTTTTCTGCAAATATTGCTATTCGTTTTTAACTAAAACTGTTACGTTTTTTAACTTATTTTTAATCAACAACACAATGACTCTTACAGAAATAAATACACAAAATACTGAAAACACTCAATTAACTGACTTTGAAAGAGGAAGAATAATTGGTCATTGGGAAGCTGGTCAAACAACTCGAGAAATAGCAAATGCTGTTGGTCGTACTCAAACACAAGTACAGCGTGCAATAAAAGCATATCGTGAAAAAGGTCAAATTACCGTTTTATCTAGAAGTGGAAGACCAAAAAGTTTAACAGATCGAGACTCTAGGACTTTAAAAAGAATTGTTATAAAAAATCGTTTTACTCCTGCTAGAGAGATAACTAACATATTAAATGAAACCACAGACAATCCTATTTGTGATCGAACAATTCGTAACTATCTCCATGAAGAAGGATATTATAGTCGAGCTGCATTGAGGAAACCTTTTGTTTCTGAAGTTAATCGAAAAAAACGATTTAGTTGGTGCAGAGAAAGAAAAAATTGGAACGTTGATGACTGGAGTAATATTATTTGGAGTGATGAATCAAAATTCAACTTGCATCATTCTGATGGACGGCAGAGAGTTTGGAGAGTTCCAAAAGAAAAGTATGATGTTGACTGTCTTATTCCTACTTTTAAACATGGTGGGGGAGGAATAATGGTGTGGGGTTGTTTTGTGAACAATCAACCAGGACCCTTGGTAATATTAGAAGGTAAAATAACTGGTAAAAAATATCAAGAGCTTTTAGAAAATTATTTATTACCTTTTATGAACGAATTAGGAACTGATTTAAATATATTTCAAGATGATAATGCACCGGTTCATACTGCAAAGGCGGTGCTTAAATGGAAAGAAGATAATTTAATTTCTTCTCTTCCTTGGCCTGCCCAGAGTCCTGATCTCAACCCAATTGAACATGTTTGGGATTATTTAGAAAAGGCAGTTCATAATCGAAAACCACATCCAAAAAATATTGAAGAATTATCTATTTATTTAAATGAAGAGTGGGGGAAACTTGACCGTAATTTTTTACAAAATTTAGTTAATTCTATGCCAAGAAGAGTTGCAGCTGTAATTAATTCTAAAGGAAACCCGACAAAATACTAATAAATAACCAAATTCTCTATCTTTTTTTGATTCTTTTAGTGTATATTTTATTACAAGTTAATATGTAAAATATTGTGCAAATAGCTAGTAAACTTCATAAAAATTATTTTTACGTTTCAGTTCGATACTTGACCAATATCCGACAATTAATTGTGAGATTTCATAAGTATACATTTGAAGATAAAAGAAACAACATTTACTAAGCTCTCAAAATGTGTTAAAACATGTCATCTAAAGTTGGCTCTAATCTCAAGTTTTTTTGAAAATTTCCGGAAATTTTTTTTTTGTCTTTTAAAGATCATAAAATTACCAATAATTAATTTTATGTTGTGAAACTTGAATATGTTATAGAAATCATTATGAAAATGATTTTTTTGTTATTACACAACATCGACTTGGTTAGTAAAATCATGACTTTTTATATCACAGAAGTTATCCAATTATTTTCGTCGATCATCAGGTGAAGCGATACTTTTTTCAAGGGACTGTAGAAAAGCAGCCTCAGGGAAATGTCACACGACTACTAATACTAATTGATTATGAAAAACATAAAAATCCGTTGAAACGCAATTAGTAATTTCGTTCAATGGATTTTAAATGAAATTTTCTTATATGTTCAGCCACTCTGTTGAAACGAGGGTTATACTGTATGCATGTGTGATGATACATAAAAAAATAATTGAAAATAAATACTTTGTTTTTCCTGCAACCAGCTTTGATTGTTGTTTATATGTGAAATACATTGATATAAATATTCATCAATATCAAGATTTCTCTTCTTGACATCATATGACTTAATTATATTATTTTCCACCTCTACAGTTGCTGTTGTTCTTTGGGTCCTATCTTTAATTGGAGGAATTAAATTTGACCAAAAGACTACAGTCTTCCACCAAGTATTATCAAGGTATTTTCTTAATTGTGGATTATACAATGGATTATATCCATAGCCATTCTCACCAAGATTATTGGTTTTTTTTTGTTGTCAATTCGTAATTAATTAATGGAATAAATATTTTGAAACAATCATCCATTTCTTTAACATCTAATTTAATACAAGTATCTAAACAATAAGTAAATTTATCATCAATTAAATCTTCTATTTTGTTTTATTTTCTAGAATTCCTGTATCATTTAATTCATTACCTATATCTTTAATGAAATCATTTGCCTCATTTGCATCAAAAATCACATCTAAATCATTATAAAATTTAAATTCGGAATCTAATTTATTCCATATTGATCACAATTTAATCTTTCCTTGGGATAATAGCCAATTTCAAAATAATATCTTTTTTCAATTTCTATTAAACTTTCACTCATTCTCATTGAATTCTATAACTTAACAATGACATTGATTAATTCAACTTTTTTTAATAGATTGACTATTAATGTTTGATTTTGAATATCTAATTACTGCCCTTATACAATGACCAAAACACCAAGCCAGGATTGTTTTTCCTGGATCTAATTCTTTATTATTTCTTAAAGAATTAATATTTCTTTCAATATATGTTTGGTGTTTCATTATTATAGGCGGCAAGCACTGCCATAATATTTTTAGCACAGTTAGGGTTAATCAGATATGGGATTGTATTGCTGCCAAAAATTTTTAATTTTGTCTGATGGTATGTTTTTAAATATCTTTCTAAATTAGAAGCCTTTAGGATCATTTGTTATCAATTCAAATATATTGATAATTGGTAAATTTTCTCCTTCACCAGAAGTCATTGTAATCATTGCATTCAGGGTGCATTTATATTTGTAAGTAGATATTCTGAGATAACCCTGATTTTTTTATAAATTAATTAATTATTAATATTTATAAAAAATCAAATAAATTAATAAATTTACTTTACTAATTGCCCAGCATAATCAATGAATATGCCAGATTAATGGAGCAAAAATATGATAGTAAGTAATGGATGCTTCATTAAAAAGCAACACACTCAATGGCCAAATAGTCAAAGGTTGTTATATGTGCCCCCATATTTTCTGTTAACACTTGCTTCCTTTCCATTACTATTTGTATAATTTTCTTTTTCTTTTTCATTAATATCAATTGCAGCAAATAGTAGTCTTTCCATAACTCCTCCAACCTGTGGGTTTTTTAAATTAGATTGTGACTTTAATGTTCTAGATGCATATGCAGAAGGCGCATTATCATGTATGTTTCCAGTTAATCTTTGTTCAGACTTAATATTAATGTTTTGTCAATGCAATTTGTTGCATATGTGTAAGAATTACTTTTCTTAATGAAAATAAAAACAATATTATAACACGTTCGTCGAACAGCTACTTTAATTATTGTAAAAATACAAGTTATCTTTATTATCTTAAAAATGATGTCCTTTATATAATAAAATTACATAGATTGATATGATATAAATAAAATATAAATAATAATAAAAGATTGATAAAATATAAATAAAATAATCATAATAATTCTTATCAATCTATCTGGAAGATTTGTGGACATAGATAAATAATAAATAGTAATTAAAGACACGAAATAATAATTAATTATGTGTCACGTTTCCAGATGTAAATATTAATGTACTACATAAGACGTTGTATGTGATTATGAAGTAAATTGTTACATTCTCCCCTCCTTAAGATTTGACGTCCTTGTCAATTCAAATTCCTTGAGTTTCTCTTGAGCATTTGCCAAATTTTCCAAAGGTTCCCATGTTGCATCATGGAGAGGATGACCCAACCATTTAATTAAATATTGTGGTTTCTTTCTAATAATTCTTTTATCCAGAATCATTTCTACTTCATATTCATTTTGGTTTGTCTCTGGAATATAAATTGCTGGTGGTGGTATTGGTTGTTGAAATTTGTCTGATTCTTTATAAGATTTTAATAAAGAGATATGGAATACTGGATGGATTTTTAATTCAGTAGGCAATTCCAATTTATATGCAGTTTTAGAAATAATGGCTTTGATAATGTATGGTCCAATATATTTGGGAGCCAATTTCCTGGTAGGTCTATTTTTATCGATAGGATTGTTGATATTTTTAGTTGACAATAATACTTTATCTCCAATTTTAAATTCAACATGACGTTGATGGTTATTTGCATATTGTGATTGTCATTGTTGAGCTACTATTAATGTGTCTTTTGCAATGTTAATCATATTATTCCAGTGTTCAATAAAATCGTCAGTAGCTGCTATTTTTGTTGAACTTCCTGAAGCTAAAACTGTGGGTGTTATTGGGTGTTGTCCGCAATCTAACTCGAAAGGAGGTAAATCCTGTTGAGGCCTGCTTGGAATTATTATACGTAAATTCAGTTGCTGGTAGATATTCATCCCACTGATCCTGTTTGTATGTGGCAAAGATTTGTAACATTTCCTCTAATGTACGATTCATTCGTTCAGTCTGTCCATCTGTTTGAGGGTGGAATGCAGTTGACATTGCTAATTTTGTTCCCAACTGTTGAAATAATGCTTGCCAGAATTTATTTGTGAATTTGGTATCTCTGTCTGATACAATTACTTTTGGTAGTCTATGATTCTTAAAAATAGTTGTAAAGAATATTTTAGCAACTTCAGGTGCAGTTGCTGTAGTATGCATTGGTTCAAAATGTGCTCTTTTAGTAAGTCTATCTGCAAATACTACTATTGCATCATGTCCTTTTTTTGTTGTGGGTAGTTGTACAATGAAATCTATTGTAATCTGTTCCCAGCGATTACTGGGAATATCCAATGGTTGTAAGAGACCTAATGGTTTCTGGTTATTACTTTTATTACATTGACATTGATCACAACTACGTACATATTTCTTAACATCTTTACTTAATTTTGGCCAATAATAGTTTCTACTAATTGTTGCATATGTTTTATCAATA